GGAGAAAATTTTTGCAAATGAAACCGACAAAGGCTTGATCTCCAGAATATATAAGCAGCTCATACGACTTAATAAGAAAAAACACTTTTTTTGTTATATCCAGCTTTATTTCCTAAGGTCAAAGGTGTTTGTTTGGGGGAAAGAGACTTGTAATGCTCTCAGTCTCCCCTCCTTCCAGACACAGGAGGGTGACATTTCTTGATCTTCAGATGAGGCGATGTGACTAGTTTCGGTCACATCAGGTTGTGAGGGTGAGGGAGACGTTCCTGGGCCAAGGTCTGTAATCACTGGGTAAGTACCTCCAATTTTCTCTTCCCCCAAGTGAGGAGACAGTGTGCTCTGGACAGTAAAGCCACAAGACAGCTGAGTCACCCCAGGGAGAGCAATGGTTTGGAGGGTAGTGGGGGCCTGTGGATGCTTTTCCTGCCCAAGAAATAAACTTTAAAGTCCCAGAAGTGTTGGAGTCATTGATTGTCACAGTCCTTCTTGGTTTTTTCTCCCCTCTCATGACATTGACTTGTTGGAGAGTCTAGGCCTATTTCTTGTAGAATGGTCCATATTCTGGGTTCTTCTGATTTTTCCATCATGTCAATTGGCTTGTTTCTCTAACCTCAGCATTAACTGTAAACTGGGAGTTAGGTGTAGAGACTTGATTGGTTTCTGCTGAGACCTTTTGGGCAAAGAACACTTCATAAGTGATGCTGACCCATATTGCATCCCAACAGGAGGCACTCAGTGTCCGTTCTCCTTCTTTAATGATGTGCTAAGAGTTTATCACTGAGTTACGGTGACAGACAGAACTTTCCATCACGATTTTTAAATAAAAATGTTAAAAATGCATGCAAACAGTAACTACCTGACTGTATCTCAAACCAATAGCATCAACTTGTACAGCAAATTAAAAAAAGGCATTTCCCAGTGGTGGTGTTTCCTGAGAAGCTCTCTGTCCTGGTGAGGCTGACCCGCTCTGGTCCAACTCCACCTGGCCCTCAGCTGCCGCCTGAGTCCCTGCCAGGCTTCTCCTCTGAAGGGAGGGTGCCCCTCCTCCACTCTTCTTACCTTTGCCCACCTGGAACCCAGAGCAGGGCTGCCTTACAATGACAGTGGTGTCAACCATCACCACCACAATCTGAACTCCTATCATGTAAAAACGCTGTGTACCGGGTGCTGTACTAAACTCTATGAGGTAAGTATGATTCACCCCATTTCATGCATCGGATAAGAGTCTTAATTAAGCAACTAGCTCAAGATTACCAGGGAAATAAAAATTTTCCCCTTTTAAAAAATTTCTTCATTTTTCAGTTTTATTAGGTAGAATTGTTACAATTTGACTGCACATATACAATATGTTGCATGTAAATACATATACACAATATACTGCACATATTTTTAAAATCTACATATATGTACTGTTCATTGTTTCTAAGAACGTTTAGAGCTTTAGCTTTTTAAGCTTACATAGTTATCAAAGGAATAAAGCCAACCACAAAATAAGAATTAAGAATTTTCCCCTTTAGATCCCTGACAGAGCAGGGATATGGACCCAGGCTGTGTGACTCCTAAGCTCATATGCTTAAGCATTACACCCGCTGCCCCCACTGTTTCATGGACACGACCTTGATGTGATATTGACATATGAGGCTACACCATCTCATCCCCTCTCCCCTCCCCCACCTATTAAGAAAGGCCTCCCTTCACCTGTTATTATTAGGCCTTTATTACCAGGATCAGAACGATGTATGGGGGAGAGCAGGTGGTGAGGACAGAAGAAGCCGGAAAGGCCAGCTGGGTTTATAACTGTGAAAAGTGAGAGGGAAAAAATAGATGCAGAGAACAGAAAGAAGCAAAGGATACAAGAGAGCTTGCACAGGGCCAGTCTGTGACAAAAGGCTGAAATGGTTAACAAATGGGGATGGCAGATACCTTGGGAGCAGCTGTCATACATGGGTTGCATGTATATTGAGAGAGAGGGAAAGTTGGGAAAGAGGGTTTTCAGTTGTGGGATCTTCCTTCGCTGCATTTACAGTTTAAGATGATTTAGTGCATGAAGGGCAAGGCTTTTAAAGGGTGTCATTTTATTTTTAATGGGGTCAAATGTGCATGGCACGTAGGGTTAATAATAGTGATAATAACACTAATAATAGTATCAAGAGCCCAGAGGAAAAGCTAGCACTAAGTGTTACCACCGTATGCCGGGAACCATGGGAACCACCACACGCAGTCACACAGTAGTCCTGAGATAAGCACTGTGTTCAGGTTCATTTCACAGATGAAGAAATTGAGGCTGAGAAAGGTTCAGCTCTCCACGGCCACCCAGCTTGTGGGCACCAGGAGGGGACTTGAACCCAGGCTCATCTGCGCTGTGCTGTCCAGGCTAAAAATTACTAGTAGTTCCACCCCTCAAAGAGAAAGCCAGCTGTAGCTCTCCCCAAATCTATACCTTTGCAACTTTGTTGAGCATCCAGGAAAAATCAGGGTTGTGTGTCTGGGTGATGTGATTAGAATGAGACCAGATCAACTTTTTGCTCGAGGGCCCTAACTTGTGCTTGAACTTTCACTTTCCTTCAAGTGACTGTACTTAGAAGACCCCTGCCCACCACTGGTGATTCCCTCTCCACCCCGTGCCCAAGAGCAAGGTGCCCTCAGCCTCTCAGCAGGGTGGACTAAAACTAGCAAAGAACTCCCTGGACTCAAATGGTTCCAAAACGTAAGAAATAGAAAAGAAATTCATAAATACAACTTTGCTTTCTTTGCACTGTGATGCTAAAGTGCAACTCAGAGTATCTTTTTCTTGTTAAAAACAACGTGAGTTACAGTGATTAGGTTCTCAGCTCACATAAGTCTAATTAAAGCCACAACGTAGTTAAAATAATGCTCATTTACATAAAGACAAGACAAATACCAATTACAACACTAGTAATTTTTTTTAAAAGAGTAGAAACAAAATGTAAGAAATTTTGCATTTAGTAAAATGTGTAGACTTGGGGAAAGCATGTTTAGAGATAAAAGATTTAGATGGAAGATTTTAGAGATTCTAAAAGAGACTTTGGGGTACTAAAGAGATCAACAGCATAAGTTCTCGTAATATCTAATTATATTTTAAATGGAAAAAGTCTTCCTTGTCTCTGATACAGACTTGCCACCAGCTCTGACTCTTATCAGTGATACCATCAAAGATCTTATCAATGCACAATGTGACTTGCAAATGAAATGAAGAGAGGCAGGAGCGATTTTTCTGGAGGGAACTGAGTTTAAAAAAATAGAAGAGAAAAAGGACAGTGGGAGGGGATGGAGAGATGAGTAGAGTTGCTTGATGAGCAGTTATCTGAGCTATGTTTACGAATGCACCTGCATGAGCAGCACTCCTGGTAGAGAAGACAGAAGATCATTGGTGAAAGACAAAAACTGGCATCTGCCTCCTGGTAACTTGTGACCCCATCAGTTTCAAACAGCATGACTGCCATCTGGAGAAAAAGGATAAGCGTGTTTCATGGCAGAGAGTAGAAAAGAAGGGGGACACAATTAGTGCTCCCTCATGTATGGAAAGCAGTTCTCTTTAAGAAAAAGAAAGCAAACCCTGATTTGTATGTCTGTCCATTGTGATGGTATAAGTACTCCCCCAATGGGCAATTTCAAGCTACAAATGGTTTAATCACTGGCTTGCAAAATTCCCGAATATTTAACACTCAGCTTCTGTGAACTGGTGCGAGCCAGCTCCAACACACACTGGTCAGGGCAACTAACCATTAATGTGTCCAGATGGTTGCCAGTCCAACCCACTTACGCAAGCACACACTGTTCTGTTCTGCGCTTGAGACATTTTAATTATTTCAAAGGTTACTTATTAAAAACTGGTGAAATATCCATGAAGTTCAGGAAGAGCATATCTCAAAAGCACATCCTTGCCTAAAAGCCACCAGAGAGCCAAGGGCAGAAGGCCGTTTGATCAGTGTAAATTAAAATTCACTTGCTTAGCATGCAGGAGGTCCTGGATTTATTCCCTAGTACCTCCATCAAAAAAAAAAATCATCACATACCTGAATTCTTGGGGCTACGTTAAAATTTCTGATAATTCTGTCCTCTATGAAGTTTTTAAAAAGTAAAAAAGCTAGAGGGAAAAAGAAAAAAGTAAAAGAAAAAGTCACCAGTGGTTTTTCTGGAACAATTTGAAAAACTTAAAAACTACGGCATGTTCTTAGTAAAATTTTAATGCATTTCCAAAGTGGATAAGAAATGGGAGAGAACATACTTGTTCATCTCTTACTCTATGTTTAGCTAATCACACTGTCAGAAGCAGGGCTTCTGGGACTCAAAGTGCTGGAGAAAGTGGAAGGGTTTCTTGAGCACTGCGTGGCCACCCCTGTGGAGTGGAGTGCGAGGGAAACCCAACACCCAGGGAAAGAGCATCTGTACACCCACGAGGAACAGTGGCAGCATGGCCTTCCAGCATCTCCCTGCCAGGGTCCTTCCTACACAGTCACCATGATCTGATCCAGGGGTTTCCGTGTGAGGTCAGGCACCGTGGCGTCTTCACTGGGGTACCCCACGGGAAGCAGCATCAGCAACTTTTCATTTGTAGGGCGGCCCAGGAGCACCCTCAGACGGGAGCCACAGTTCAGAGGTGTGGTCGTGACAGTCACCAGTCCTGCGTTCTACAACAGGAGAGGAAAGAAAAAAAACATTTAAAAGTCAGCAGGCAAAAATCCCAGCCCTGCTTCCAGCCTGGCCACGGTCTAGTCCCTATTACATCTGCTTGGCCCATCATTTCCCTGAAGTTGGGCAGCAGACAGGGTACCAGCTCAGGCAATGGGTATCTTGAGTCTTACAGGTTCCCCTCGACCTCCCCAGACCCCACCTTCTTTTAACCAAACAGTAGAAAACTTCTCAAAGAAGAAAATACCAGTTTTATCTTCCACTGATGCTTAAGAAATCAGAATGGTTATTTCATGGAAAGAAATTTGGGGAATCCAACTACACCAAAGGAATGGAAAAACGAAAGGGAGTTCCTATGATTATATAACTGGCAATGGAAGCAGAGCATCACCCCCAGCTGCAAACACCTGTGTCCGGAGGCAGACGACCCAGTGGTCAAAGGCTACATTGGAGGCAGAGGAAATACTCCGTTAACCTCTCCCCAGTCCCTTCGAGTGATAAACATCTAATAAAAATCATGTGAAGCTTCAAGACGCTTCCCCGGTTGGCCCTCTCTGCCCCTTGCTCTTCCAGTCAGATGGTCAATGTGAAGCCTGGGCCAGAAGGAGGTTCTGGAACTGCCTTTGAGAGGCCTGCACGCCTCCAGTCCCTGTGCGATCTGTCTTCAGGAAGATTCTTTCCTCCCTCACAAAGCCAGAGCCACGCTCAGAATTATGCCTTACAGAAAGCCAGAGGGCAGCAAACTCAACAGCAAAGCGGGGAAAGTTGATTTGAAGGCACAGAAGCCTCTAGTGAAGGGAGCTCGCTCCAGGCCTAAACAGCTTCTCTGGGGACCCCAACTAAGACGAGTGGCTGTGCCCTGTGGTCTGACGTTGCACAGCGACCCCTTTATTTATCTGTTACAATATCAGGAGGAAAATAGGATGCCAGCTCCTCTGGAATCATTTTTCTAAATCTAAAAACACATTCCTCTTTTATGTCACAAGGACTATCATTTGCAAGGGGTTTCCAGCATACACACTTTCCTTTGAGATACTGAAGAAGCATATAGTTTTTTTTTTTAATCAATTGTCCCTTGGAAATAGGCTCATTCGCTCTTATAATCCTGTTGGCTGTCTTTATTTCATGTGCTTATAGTCTCGCTCCAACCCTTCCCAGGACCCCAGTCCCTGTTAGAACGTACAGTTCTCAAGGCGACGATCCTGGTGACTCCTAGGATCTGCCACACAGAAAGAACTCAGAAAATATTTGTTCGGTGAATGAGCTGAATCTTGCAAAAGGCAGACCTCAATCCTGCTCCATTTCATGCTTGGCATTGCTTTAGCTACTATACAGATGGAATTTTTTTAAGCACATGAACATCTTTCTAATGCAGTACAATGTAAGCTCAACTTCTCAGGAAAGGAGCTCTATGATAGGGTCCCCCTTATAGCTTTGTAATCATCCCACTGGCTCAGACAACGGTAAACAAAACTAAGAAGCTAATCCCCGAAACCTTCAGAATCTGAAGCTCTTGTGTGTTTACCAAAGCCCTTAACGTTTCATGTCATTACAGGTGAAGGTCAACACAACGACCATTCTTTTGACCTTTAAATGATGTTCTAAGAAAATTTCAATGAAGGATTCCAGCTTGTTCGAACCACATACTCACCAATCCAGGTTTCCAGAGTCAGTTTTTACATCTGTTACTTAGAAATTCAGTGTTAGATAAGTTCCCAACGTCCCTGAATCAGAAACTCAGCTGAAATTTGCAAACAAAACTGCATTTGGCTGCTAAGTATCACCTGTCTCTCTTGGGCTGAGCGGAAGGGTAACATACCTGCAGGGCAGCTAAGAGGATGCCGCAGGCGATGGAAACACTGATCTCGTTGTAGTAGTGGATCTTTTTCTTGCCATTTGCAGCAAAACCATGTACTTGTTTGAAAATGAGAATCAAAACAGGAGCTGTGTCCAAGTATTCTTTAATCCAGTTGGTCCTAAATAGGGGAAACATAGGATTCAGACAAATATTTTCTCTTAATGGTTTTTCATTCTCTTTTTACTACCTTAACTTATTGACGTTGAAAATAAAAATATTTACCTGTTTGGGGGGTTAAGTTGAAAAAGAGCGAGTTTTTTTTTTTTTTGTCTGTGTCACGTTCATCTTTTTCTATCCAAAGTCAATAAACAGACATTAATAAGGGCCTACCGTGGCAAGGGACATGAAATGCTAAAAGGTACAAAGATGGATCCTATAACCTACAGGAAGCCAAATTTATCAAAATAAAACCTGGTAAGTGTTATTAAAGAAATATAAGCCAAGTGCATTAGGAGCCCAAAAAGGAAATGTTAGTCATGAATAAGAAGATTGTCAGAATGTTTCCAAAGTTTCTCTTAAGGCTGGGCGCTGAAGACCAAGCAGAGAAGGGGCATTGGGGAGGGCATCCCAGCGAAGAGATGAGTAAAGGGCAGTCAGGAAGGAGAATGCTTGGCCGGCCAGGGAATTTCAGAAGCCCGGTAGGCTGGAGGATGGTGTGCATGGTGGGGCATGGGTGGGCTGGCAGTCTTCACACAGAGTTTGCAGGGTCATGAACTCTGTTCAGTAGGTAATAGAAAGTTATCACAAACTTCCGAGCAGAAGCATCACATGATCCGATCTATTTCAGAAAGAGGCGTAGTGGTGTGGGCAAGGGACCAGCTCATAGGGGAGCAGACAAGAGACAGAGGCAATAGCCCAGGAGAACTTGGGGCACTGTAGACGCTGACGCTGACAGACTGGCACAGGAGTGAGCAGGGAGAAGAAAAAGGTGGCGGTGAGGTTGAACAAAATTCCAGGTGGGCAGATGGTGATGCTCTCAGCCTAGTTATGGAGAAAAGGAAGGAAAATTTTGTGGGAGTGAGATTACTCAAGTGAGGTATAAATGCTGAGTTTCAATTTTCATTTTCCAGCCACGAGCACCTCTTTTTTTTTCCTGTGCTTTCTATCTTTTTCTTTTAACATTTTTTATTGATTTATAATCATTTTACAATGTTGTGTCAAATTCCAGTGTTCAGCATAATTTTTCAGTCATTCATGGACATATACACACTCATTGTCACATTTTTTTCTCTGTGATTTATCATAACATTTTGTGTATATTTCCCTGGAGCACCTCTTTATTTCATTACCCTACCTATGCACTTCAGAGAAAGCTTTATTCTAGCACAGACATTCAAAGGAAAGATATTCATACAATGCTATACACTGGAATTTTTCTTAGGACATATTATGTTATCAATAAGCAAAAGCTAGTCATCATTTATTTCATTTTTAGCTTAATTATGCTGCCTTGTTTAAAACACACTCAGCTCACGTGTGCATTTTTCTGTGGTTCCTCTGACACTCCTAACTTCTATACGTTACATTTTAAAATGACTTTACCGTTCTTCAACCAGCTTGCTCGCATTTAACTAGCATCACTTTTTTCTCTCTTTACAAAAAGGGAGACAGTTAATAGTTTAGGAAAGAAAAACTCTGGCGTCAACTAGCTTTGCCATGTTGGACAAGCTGCTTACCATCTCACAGCTCAGTTTCCTCGTGTGTAAAATGTACGACTGTACACTCACCTCGAACGGTTACTGTGACGGTGAAATCAATCAAAACAGACCAAGTGCTTAGAAGACTGACTAGTACATCGTGCTGTGGATGTGTTAGTTAGTATTATTATTACTACTAAGGATTATTTTACAGTGAATAATTCAAAACAGTTTTTAAATGCAAGATGAAGAACAAGCAGTTTACCCAGGTTCGGAGACAGGGGAGTCACTTTTACCAATTTTTGTACTTATTTATTTTGCCTGGGCATACATTAGTATCTAATCTTTTGGATTTGTTCAATTTTACAAGAGTTTATTATGACATCATATAAAAGACAGTAACGTGCCAAGGCCTGTTAAGAAAAGGACAAGGGGCACTTCTGTCTGGGGTGGAGGGCTCACACCAGCAGCAGGAGGGGAAGGCTTGACAGATAGGTCGGGTCCAGATTGCACATGAAGCCTTTGATGACAGCTTTGAGTTTCAGAGTTTACTCAAACTGGGTATCAGGACATATGTTTGTTTGTAATTCAATTTGACAAACATTTATTCAGTTACCTACTAGGCATCAGTGCTGTGCTAGGAGGTGTAAGACTTTTTTAAACTGGATGTCCCTGGACCCTTGAGTTTTTCATGTGTAACTGTGTGTGTGTGTATGTGTATTGTCTGCAGCGAAAGTCTGTAATGCTAATTGGAATTTCAAGAGTATCTTGGTGTACAACAAAGGTTTCTAAAATAGGGCCTATAAAATGAGAAGAAGAGTAAGCTAATAATGAAAATAACTACGTGGTGATGACTATTTTAAGTGCATGGAAGGTATAATTAGGTGCTTTGAGCATATAGATGAGAGAGCAACTCCTGCTGCCTTAGTTGGGGAGGGGATGGGGACCGGCTGCATTTTGTATGTGCTGCACACACAGAGCACAGCATCTCTCTAAGGGCAGAAATTCAACTTGTCTTTACCCACCCTGTTTTTTCTCATGACTACTGAATGAGATTTATATATTCATTATTCACTTCCTGCACATCTAGAACACGGCAGGAAGTTACAACACCAGTAAACATCCATTTCAATAGGGTTTAAATATCTCTGGAAAAAAATTATCCTCTGCAGCCAAATAAACAAAACAGGAGCAGAACTAAGAGGCCATTCCTTCTCTCCACCTGGCCCTAACCACTGGGGGGCCAGTCCCGCTTTACCCCCAGACTGCAGCCCCATCGCCCTTTCCTACACTGGGAGCACAGTGGGTGCTGGGCGGCTGGTGTCGAAACTGGCCACAAAAGGCCCACCGTGGACAGCCAGAGGCATGCGTCCCCCTTCATCCTACGTGCCAAAGACACGAGCTAGCTTCCCTTCGGGGCCTTCTGAGGTCAGGGCCCACATCTGTGTCCCATCCCCGCCATGCTCACCCTGAGAAGAGATTAGAGCGGAAAGGAAATGCCACTGTGGGGTGGGCAGCCTTTGTAAGGAGCCCTCTGTGACAGATGTTTTTAAGTGACAAGGCTGAGTCTGAAAAATGGACTGTTTTAATTACAGATGACTCAGAAATTATGGAATCGATCCTAGATATCGTGTAGGGTGACTGGTCCTTGATGGGAAAAAAGGGCTAAATACGGCATGGTTAGTTGTAGCTACTAGGAAAAAACAGAAACCTTGTGTGTCCCTGCTCTGAGACACTGAGTCTCTGCAGTAAAACCAGTTACACTGAGTCACAAACCCACTTCTTTCCTGGAGAGAAGGAAGCCCACAAAGTCACTAATGCCTAACAGGTATTATACTTGTACCAAATTTGTGCTGTTACTAAACATGGACTAAAATTAAAGCCTGCTTAAGCAGATCCTGTGGAAGAAGTGATCATTATAATAAAATGTAATTTATTTCACTCAAGAACCTGAGAAGTATTTTATGATCTTACCTTCCAGGTGGGAGAAAAGTTAAGTCCTCAAAGCTTTATTTACTAATAAGTATTTGCGTCAGAACCTACTTATTTACCCACGTCATGGCCCTTACTATGTGACCTTATCACTGTTCTGGGTGCTGACAAGCTCACCTAACTTCCATAATGAAGAGGATGCTAGACTTATCCCCATTTTACAGATGAGGAAACTGAGGCACAGAGAGGTTAATACCTGGTAGACCTCATATATAAACCCAAGCACTCTTGTGAGCCTCATTTAATCTGCAGAAGTCCCGAACAGAACAACAAAAAGTGGAATAAGGGAGAATTTTCTCTCTCTGCCTAACTGTTTTTGAGCTGACATCTCAGTCTTCTGCCTTTGGGCTCAGATGTGGATTGGAATGTACATCGTTGGTTCTCCTGGCTCCCAGCTCTTTGGACTCAGGCTGGAACTATACCATCATCTCTGCTGTGTCTCCAGCCTGCTGACTGGGTTGGGGCTTCTCAGCCTCCATAACTATGTGAGCCAATTCCTTATAATAAATCTCTTTCTGTGTTTCCCTCTGTCTCTCTTTCTGTGTCTCTCTTTCTCTGCATTGATTCTATTTCTCTGGAGAATCCAGACTAATGCACAGATAAAGTTGCCAAGGTCTTGCAGTTGGAAAATCAGAGCTAAGACATGAACCCAGATTTGATTCTAGCCAGCATTCCTATCACCTGCCCAATATGTTTGCTCAACTCAGTTACAGTGGGGAGGCCCGACTTAACGTCCATAATTTCTCCCACAGTCGAATGAAACTTTAAAGCACATAAAACAAAACCTGGAAACTGCAGTCATAGTTATTTCACTTTAAGAAGCCAAACCAAACACCCCTATTTCTATCCACTTTTGTACCTGAACTTCTTCAGGTCTGTAACCCATCGAGGACCCATCCTCTTCAAGTAGTTTATTTCCTCTTCCTCCTCAATGATCTCCCGAATCTGATGCTTCGTGTCCGGGTCCTTCACAACCACAAAGGTCCAGGGCTCTGTGTGGGCCCCACTTGGGGCTGTTCCTGTCACCAATTAAGTTAAAACCAATAGTTAAAACTGTGGAAAATGTGAGGCTGTTAATTAAGGATAAATATAACTCATATTTGCTCAGGATGAAGTTAGATCACCCGGCACACAGAGCGCCTGGCAGAAGCCTCAGGGATGTCACTGCTCACCCGATGTTGTTCAGCATCACTGTGGGGGTCTCCAGACCAGCTCACTGGGATCAAGGCCAGTAGCCCCAGGGCTGTGGGGATTCATCACTGTTCCTCTTATTATATGGGAGAAAACATCCTTAAGTAACTATACTGTGACCAGTTAGGGGACTCAGAGTGGAAGTTCTGACAGCTAAAGTTCCCCAATTTCGTTTGTTTTGTTTCTTGATAAAGTTGTGAGGGTTATTGGAAATGATAAAACTGAAATGGTAAAACGGTTTCGAAAGCACCCTCCGGAAGGCAACTAAACTGTAAACTGCTCTGAGGGCGGCGCTGTGGGTTGGTGGTCTTGCTGGGGACGCATGAGAACTCTCGGCCCCGGGCGCGCATACACACAACAGCCGGTCTCCCAGCTCCCACAGGCCGCGGGAAGCTCCGCCCGCAATCGAGCCAGTCTCAGTGTCCCAGACAAAACTTCAGAGTGTGTCATGGGATCCAAGGAGCTCGAATTTCCTTTAAGATTCCAGCCAGGGCCTGGGCCAGCTTCTGATCTGGGTGTCACCCCTCTGTCCTAGAAATGCCCTATTTTTCCTAGAAGTAGCACACAGGGATCTGCTGGGGCGATATTTCAGAAGCAAGTTTTCCTTTCTTCCTAGTGAGTAACTTAATGGCATAAACTCTACAGGAGGGGCCTCAGGCCTGCCAGCCTTAATGGGGTTCTGGTTCGCAACTACCAGTCCCCACAGTACAGAGGGCATGATTAAAAAGTCAAATCTCAACACAAACCCCATTCTGAACATAGTGACTCCAGTTCACTTTGTT